AATCTGCCAGAATTTCATACTGAGGTCTTTGGCATAGTACAACAGAGCGAGACTAATCCTTAGCTGACCATAAGATTTCATTCGCAATAGTCTACAAATGAACTTTCACTTATTATTGCAGAACTGTGTATGTCAACAACTAAGACACTCACCACAAGAGTCTTGCATCAGCAGTAAGTCCAGCAATGGAGATACCGATATGGTTGTCAACGTACAGGATTTTTTTCTGATGGGCTGCCAGCTCAGACTGTGCTCTCTACGCATAAAAGGAGAAAGCTACGTGGCAGACTGACCAGTTTGCCAAGCACTGTGGAGAAATCTGCTAACATTTACTGCAAGAACTGAATATAATCATGAAACAGTCAAAAAAAAACAACAACAAAAATAAACCCACAACCTATAAACTTGCAACAGAAGACCAAAAAAAAACTAGCTCCATTTCAGTAGGAGACTAAGAGGAAGAAAGAACAGACACTTGCTCAAATTTTAAAGAAAATGAAGTTTTACTACTTAATAACTAAAAAAAAAAATAGAGGAGTGTTTATCTTTTAAAGGGAAAAATTTTCACTCACTTCATTCACGATTTTGTGAAAATCTGCTTAGCATAGGTACTGAAAATATGTTTCTATACTGGTACTAAAGCAAAAGGAAACTGGGATTACATTTACGTTACATAAGTAAGTGCAGACTGTGTTAAACTAATTTGACAAACTAGAACTTTTGTACTAACATTGCCATTTTAAACTTACCTTTAAAGCTACCAGGACAGCATGCGTTTTTGATTTCAGCCCCACAGTAGCTGAGCCTTGTTTCACAGCTTCCATGGCATATTCGATTTGATGGATTCGCCCCTGAAGAATAAAATCAAAGGTAATCATTTTAAAATTAATCCTCAATATTAACTTTCAATGTTTTTTTGATGTACAGACCTTTGATTCCCCCCACCCCAACAGGTAAACTGACTGCATAGCAGTTTAAGTCTACTAGCAATGTATTTCCTCTTATCTTTCACAAACCCTTCACCACTAACCCACACAAATCTGGCTGCCCCTGAGACACTCACTATTGCATATAAAGAAACGTGAAAAAAAATTGAAAGGGTGAACTAGTCTGATGTTGTCAGGATCACAAAACTTTTGTTGTTGTGTTAGATACTGACTCTACTGAAGACAAAGCGATTCAAAGATGGAACTTCCAGCTGGACATGTAACTTTTAATCGAGTTTCCTGAAGAAACGAGTCTTACGCAATTGTTGTGTCTCACCATCCATTCCCCAATAACTTCTGAACAAGTTATTAGTCAACTGCAGTAAAGCCTGAAAGAGGAGTAGAGGTCTCAAAGAAAATTAATTCCCCCCCAAGTTCTGCAGAGTCAGCCTGCAGCTTTGTGGGAAAACAAGGCGACATCCTTTCAGTACTACCACGGAGGGCAACGCAGCTAATTTCCCGCACCCTAGTTGGCCAGCCTATTTCAAATAATCAGTGTGTTCACTGCTGCTGTGCAAGAACGGGAATTACCAAACGCAGCACACGGTTGTCTCCTATCAGTTGCGATGTATTAAAACACAGCACGCTGCTGGAGCTGTTACAACAGGAATGTGCTAGTGATAATGCAAAGAAAATCACCTCGCATTAGTTCCATTTATTAGTTCCGTTATATATATATGTATATGGTTTGTAAAAGGGTTTTGATTTGTTTAGAGAAATACAAGGTCTCCTAGATGCTTAGCATATCCTACACACAGGTACTTCATGTCCAAGAGCAGTGTAGAAACATGGTGACCCATCCAGCAGATAGTTATCAACTGTCATGAATGACTTGCAAGGCTATAAAGCCAGGAAGCCCTGCCTAGCCTTTAATCTTGTATCCCCTTCCCTTTAAAACAATATTAGAAAATATTCCCCCAAAATGGTTATTCTTCACTCCTCTACTAACAATGCCCAGAATTATTACGGTATCACATAACAGCCTCTGTGACCCAGCCACCTGCAGGAATGTGTGGAGCAGTGATTTTAAACTGCTTTTATCAAAGTGCTGTTCACATTTTCAAGGCACTTTATGGAAAAAGTAGAAATGAGTGTTGCTGATCATTTCATGATAGCTACTGAAAGCCTAAAAACCGTACAAGTCTATTGAAAGTAATTTTAAAGTAAGAGATGAAAAAACAAAACTAAAGTTTCTGATACAGAATCTGTCAGGAAAGACAATCATTAAGAGGGATGAGAGGCAGATGTAGGTTTCCAATTCTGGATTAGAATTCTGACTTTTAACTTTTCAGATACTAAAAAGACATTAGCAACAGAGAGTAACACAGACTGCTGTAAGGAATATACAAGGCACACACAGAACGTATTGAACACATGGAATAACACGCTTATGCACACGTGCGTGTCCGTGTGAACTGGACAAAGACAATTTAGCTGCATGTTATTCACAGCATGCACTGAAGTTTGAAGGTAACAGTAAATATCTGCACTGAACATTTTCCAGTGCACATCTCCTTAACCAAAAGTTGCTGCTTGTATCATTGGCACGTTCTTGTATGTTAAATCTCCTCAAAGCTTTCATCACCCTTTGAGATAAACAATTGGATTTCTCAAAGCAGTTCGAAGCCATCTACAGCTATCATGGCATTGACTAAAGTACATTCAAACATTCAAGGTTATGTTCGTGTAGGATGAAAAGCACCAAAAGGTTGTTTCAATTATTTTAAAATGTATCTTTCGAAAACAATACCACGAGATGAAAATTTTCAGTAGTAATACAAACCCACAAGCCAGTGGTATAGTAGGTTTGTAAAAAACAAGCCATGTTGCTGTAGTTAAAACGCGTCTTTAGCTTTACCAAATGGAGAAAAGACTCCTATTTTCCATAAGTTCCTTACCTTGAGGCATACATAGCAGAAAAAGAGGCGATTAACCACCTCAGCTGCATCAGGTATTTGCTTCTAAAACCCTAAGATACCTGTTCTTAACTCAGCACAGCCTTTGTAAGTTTTAGAAGAACACACGTACAATGTGGAACTGATTCAGAGGTAACGGAGTTACCAATTCCAGTGCAAATCGCAGCACGGCCTCGCACACAGGTAGCACGAAGCCTCCCTAACAATGTGGGAAGCTGAGGACACCCACAGCTGAACAGACCCTCAGCGCTATGATTATAAGCTTTAGAGCTAGAATTTATTGAACAGGGGACGCTTGCGAGCATTTCAACTTTAAGATTTGCTCATTCCTTCTAAAAAAAAAATAAAAAAATAAGTCAGGATTTCCATGCTTTGGGTCAGAAGGGCGTGCGGCTGCTGTTGTGACTTGCTTGAAGCCAGCACATTTCCTCCTGAGCACTAGGCCTGGACTTAGTTTGCGTTATTATTTTGTGTTATTATCCACCAGGGAAGCCCTTGGTGGACCAATTAGGGGAAAAACCTTTCCCACTAATGACTGGGAACGGTCCCACCCCCCCCCCCCCCGGCCCCCAAATCCCCCCGCCGGGCCGCGATGGCGCCGGGCTCCCGCTGCGGCCTGTGGCGGGGCCTCACCTGCGGGCTCCACACGGTCACGTCGTTGTCGTACTGGTTGCGGAACTGCGGGCACAAAGCACAGCCATCAGCACGGCCCCATCCCCATCCCCATCGCCATCCCCAGGCCCGGCCGGGTGCTGACTCACGCCCTCGCTCCCTTCCGTCTCCGTTCTCCCCCCCCCAGCCGCCGCCGCAGCCCCCCGGCCTCCCCCCGGTGCCCCGGTGCCCGCCGCGGCCTCCCACCATCCTGCCCCGGCCTCCGCCTCCCCTGACGGCGGCTCCGGCTCCGGCTCCTCGGGCTCCGGGGCGGCGAAGCGGCAGCGCTCGGGCAGCGACGGCTCGGGCTGCGGGCGGCCAGGCGGCACCAGCCGCGTCCCGACTCACCGAGCGGCCCGGCCCCGCCCCGGCCCGCCTCTCCTCACCCCCCCCACACACACTTTATTTATTTATTTATTTCCCAGTTTTCACAGAATCACAGAATTTCTAGGTTGGAAGAGACCTCAAGATCATCGAGTCCAACCTCTGACCTAACACTAACAGTCCCCACTAAACCATATCCCTAAGCTCTACATCTAAACGTCTTCTAAAGACTTCCAGGGATGGTGACTCCACCACCTCCCTGGGCAGCCCGTTCCAATGCCTCACAGCCCTTTCAGTAAAGAAGTTCTTCCTAAGATCCAACCTAATAATGGTTTTCTTCTCAAAATGAGGGGTTTTGTGAGAGCCGAAGGGGAAAGGATGGGGAAAAGCCCAGCTCCTGGAGCTGAAAGGAGGCTGGAGGCAGTGAGAGCTGCTGGCCTGACACAAAAACAAGCCAAGCTTTGCACACCTGAAGCCAGGATGTGAATTATCCACGCAGACAGAATTAAACACGGTCCTGTGCAGGCAGCGAACGCACAAATTGCACATCTTGCCTCAGGAGACCAAAGGGTTCAGAGCTACTTATTCTGAAGTCACTAGAAGCCCGTTTTAAAGCTGTATTTTTAGCCCTTGCCCTTTTATCGCAAGCACAAAGCACACAACGTGTCGGGCTTCCCAATCTGCAATTACATTTTCATACAGCATCCATGCTAACAAAGGTCATAAGCTTAAGTAGCTAACGTTAAACAAACAACAACAACAACAGCTGGTAGGAACAAAACACCAGCCAGTGTTAATCAGCTCCAGCAGCCTGGATATCCTCTTATGTTTTGGGGAAAAAAAGTACAGGAAGCCTCTGAAATAATATAACAGCCCAATGACAAGCACTGTTATGAATAATGCTAGAAAATAGTGTGTCTTAGTGACACACTAAGTGTAGCCACTGTGCCTGAATTCCAGCTAAGATGCGATTACATTTCTAATTGGGCCTTTTTGCTCTCACACTAAAAGTAGAAAACTAATAGTGTTTAACAGAAATGGATTGCTTACCAGAGCTCTTATTTTGGATGATTACGATGTGTGTACAACTGTAACTGAAAAGCGAGTAAAAAAAAAAAAAAGTTACAAAAAAGTTACTAGGAAAACTTCTCTGTAGGGTTGGAGGACTCGAGCATGAAGACAAACAAGAATCAGGTGGTGCCATATTTGTATGTTTTATTTTTTCAACAAGTACCCGGGTGCTGGAATCACAACACTCAAATCAAACCCGTACTGCGTGTGTACCTTTTGGTTATTGTGGGACCAACGATAACATTTCTCTTAGCACTGGTGAATTTGTACAAAACTTTTCAATGGAGAGGATCACAGTGTTGTCTAGGAAAGAAATCTAAACAGACTGATTTTAATTATCTAACTTACGTTTAAGCTTTGCGATTAATAAATAATAATAAAAAAAAATACATTGATGTGAAATAACTTTCTTTCTTCAACACTGATATATAAACAGGATATATAAACATTTTAAGTGAGCCTACCAGCCTTCAAGTTACAGTGAACTTTCAGCAAATACTCCTGTAGTCTCTGCTATAATGCCATTCTGTAACAACTTCCTTACAGCAATAAGTGACTCCCGAAAGGTCTGCTTACTCCACCTGCAGGAACGGAACAAGACAGATATTTCCTTTCTTTTGGCAAAAGTATATTAGTTTTCATAGAATGCTAAACTACGCCAAGACTCTATTGTTCTGTCTATATACTGATAAGAACAGGAAGTAATGTTAGGAACCACATTTCTGGTAATAAAGAGGCAGGATTTTTGAAAACTTCACACTCAAAAATTAGAGGAAATCTATACAAATGAAGAATTTTTAGAGGCTATATCAACTATTACATAGGTACATTAAATTGCAACTTCAGCATTTTCCTGCATTTTTTTTTTTATTATTATTTTTAAGGTGTGGATAGAAAAATACATCCAAAACTTCAAGCTATGAAGTCCAGCTATTAAGAAATTCCTCAAAACCAAACTGGCTCAAGTACTGTGGCAGTGAAAAGTGTTGCACGGGAGCTTCTTTCCCTCCTTTACTGATGAGCTGGGCAAAGCAGCGAGGCAGGCACTGGATGGAGTTTCAGCTGCTCCCCCGAGTGCTTCAGACAGCATAACTGCTACCACATTCCCAAGGCAGCAACGCCAGGAGGTTATTAGAGACAGGAGTTATTCTCTACGAACCAGGAAGTGCTTACAGGGCGAGGAAGTCATTCACTTCCCTCTGAGTACTCCTGTGTCCTTAGGCTCAGTCTGAGCCCTTTCCAAGCAGGTGCAATTCCAGTGCTTTTGCAGTTTATTTCTATTCACATCGTGGGTGCACTACCGTTTAAAAGTACAAAAATGAGAGAAAGGAATCAACAAGGCAAAATCAAATAGCTCTTTTTCAGTTAACAAAGTTATCAAACCAAAATAAAAAAAAAAAAAAGCATTTATATATATTTTTCCCAAATATACATATTACTGAACAAACGATTACTGAAATGAATGAAGTTTGTGGTTTTCCAGTCATCTGAAGTTGTTACGAAAATTTGAATGAAGGCCTTAAATTATGGTGTCAGTAAAGTTTAAGCAATGGACAAGTGCGGTGGTGACCTCTGCACTTGGGAAAATGTCACTCCTGATATATTTAATGGTGTACAGTGGCCTGCATGAAGTGATCTGACAGTTTTAGACAGCTTCATAGGAGATAAAAATCCTTGCCAAAAGATTAGAGCAATGCAGGCATAGTTGATTGACACAGCAGAAAAATGTGTGCTTCTCACTTCTCCTCCGATGCTGGAATTGGGTGCCATTAAAAGCAGCAGGTTCAAGAAAAGCCAAGGATACTCACAGAGACACCGAATACCTGCACTGTGGAAATGCTTGCAACTGAACACAATTTGGTCACAGATTCAAAGCTCAGCTGGACAAATTCATAGACAGGATGACATTTCAGGCCACCTTGCAAAACTGCTGGTACAATATTTGAATCAGTTGCAGCAGGGAAAAAAACAGCAAACCCAAAATGAGCATATAAAGTCTCAAGAGAAATTAATGATGCTCTTTTGTTCTGTTACATTCCCAACGTAGTTATAAACAGCATCTGACATCTGAGCAGTGGCAGGCTGGCTCTGAAGAGATTAACATACAGGAACTAAAAGGGAAGGGCACTTACGCCCTCCCTACTGCTGATTCATTAGAGGAAATGACATTCCCCCAAGTCCACCTTTGGGATACCACTCATGATCAATCTACATTAACCATTGTGCTGCTGAGTACTATGATCCTGTAGTTTTACGGTGTGTTTTTTTTTGGCTCCAGCAGTAACACACCCAGCATCTGCACATTTCGTGCTGTGTAGGGACAGCAGACTGCAAAAAAAAAGGAAAGAAAACTGTTGTGCTAAAATAAGAGACAGACTGAATTAAGGTGGCATCTTCATCCCCTTGGAAAAGGGGAAAGGACAGGGAGATAATGGAGCCACTCCTGGCAGATGGACGACTTATTACTGGCAAACGGCAGTGCTGTTACCATTTAACAGGTAGGAATGGTACCACTGTAAGAGTCAAATCCCTTACTTTGATTTCCTTAGCCTGCATTTCATGACTTGTGTTGTACAGCTTTCTCCAGGAAGTAGCTGTTCACATATAAGAATAAGAGCATTATCAATTAATCTCAATATTCCTCAAATAATAATAATAATAAAAACCGTTGTTTAATATCTAGTAGGTGTTGGGGATTTGATTATTATTACTGGGCGAAATAAGTGGTCAATATTAGCCTCAGGAGACTTGTAAGGTACTGGTTTAGCTAAAGAAAATGAATGGAGAAAAGGTCAGGAGCCAGGCAAAGTGACAGACCACTCCTACAACAGGTGGCATAACCAAGAACATGTGGAAACAAAATATTAGAAGCTGCTATGAAATAACATTGATGCTCTATAATAAGTATGCCAGCATACCAATAGAAGCTACAAAATATCGCTGTTTCACATACTGCCTTTCATTTTGCCATTGCAACTTTAAATATTAGGTAACAAACAAACAACAACAAACAAACAATCAAAAATAAATTATTAATGAAACAAAAAGTTTTAGGCAGTCTTTGTTGTGGCTTTGTAACAATGCTACACCTGTTAAAGTGAAATGTGGGATGTTGTAAGAAACTAAGAATAACAAAATCTTGAGACAGGAAGAATTTTATTTGTACAGTTAGGTCTTTTTTTATATCCTATGGTCCAAGCACATTTGATACTCAAGTCACCTAGGCCAAGATATGAAATGGTAGATACGCTTTTCTGAAAATGAGTACAAGACTCTCTTAGAAATGATAATCAGGAAAATGAACAGACCTTGAAAAGTAGTCTTCACTCCCCTATTAAATCTTATCCACTGTAGTCTACAAATACATAGGGCAGAAATAGCAATCACATGTTGTAGAAGACCCTTTAATTTATATGCCATATTTAGTAGGATTACATTTAAACCTAATTTAGTCTCAAGTCACCATGATTCACCATCACCTCACATTAAACTCTTACATTTCTCAAGTTGATGATTTTTGTCCTTTGATTTTAATGCCATGAACCTGGATCTCAATACATACAGTAAAACTGGGCTTAAGAATGCCCCAAATACCCTTATTTAGATAGAAATGTGAAGCCAACGTTCCATCTTCATGAATGTTTTATCAAAATAAGGCTACTTAAGATTAAATTAGATATTGTCACAACACATTCAGGACTGTACATTTTGATTTTTTTTTATTTTTTTTTGAGAGCTGTCTTACTCTCTTGACAATGCAAACTGCAAACTGTCGATACTTGGAAGCAATACAGCTAATAAATTTATGGCTATTAATGGCTATCATTAATGGCTACTTTATAACATCTAGAATTACTTAATTTTAAGCATCTGCATGGGACAGTCAAATATGATGACATGTCCATCAACTAGGTTAAGACTGACAGCAAATATTTATGACAGCTGCTATAAACATACATACTTGACCCTAGAATTATTTGAAGATGATCTCAAAGGTCTCACAAAGAAAAAAAAAGAATGAATCATTTTGCATTCAGTACCGTAAATAGGAAAAATAACTTGTCCCTACAAAAGATGCCAAATTCCTTTCCTATTCTTCTGCAAGTTCTCAGGAGAGGTACAGACATCATTTCTCTATGAGACATCAGTTCTCTATGAGAGCCTTGCATTTATGTTGCCAAAGGCATTTTTAATGTTTTTTAAACTACTGACCAATTCGAAACACTTCAATATTCTGTCGTGAAAAATGTTAGTAATACAAGACTTTAAAGTTAATTCCTATTTTTATGAAAATCCATAGCTTTTGTGAACTGACATCAGTTGCCCTTTTCGGGGAAAACCTTCAGAACAACTAACCTTGTTTGATCACCACAGCTGGTTGAGAACGATCAGGCAATCTGGAAAGCAGGATAAAATAATCCATGTGTTAAGAGAACTGCATAAAGGAGAAAGGAGTCTGGTTCTTTCTGTCCAGTCCTGGAACAGAGAAGGGGAACAAGGTTCGACAGAGCAGTGCTGTTGTAGCATATGTTGATCATAGGAATAGTTTTGATTTGTAACTTCTTGTTTGAATAAATCAAACTAAAATATATTTAGTTTGAAATTCATGCAGATGTTATTGCCAGTTCTTTCTTGGTCTTGAAATTTCTTCATGCCCAGTGAGGGTGTCTCTATCACATACATTAATTATATAATAAAAATATATTTTGAGCTATAACTTGCTAGTTTACTTTAGTTTATTTTACTTGCTAGTTTACTTTACTTGCTAGTCTAGGAGGTGTGATTTAAATTCTGTATATTGTATTGTTTGAGTCATCAAATGATGATGATAATTCTTCAGGCATCTGTTACGGGAGTATTATGAAACACCTTATTTACTTTTCCAAAAATCTGTTAAGCTGTTTATTTCAATGAAAAAACAGTAGTTATTTTGAGGGTCTGAGCATAAAAGCACATTTTCAGCATGCATATTGGTGAATAGGCTATTTCAAATATATAAATTGCTGCTGTTGACTCATTTTTGGATTTTTGATTATGAATAAAACTGAATCAAAACCAATCTGTCAGACATTCAACACTAGATACATAACATTCTGAGACAGACATACATGAATTACACGAGTTCATGAATGAATATTGTGTCAGTTATATTAATGATGAAATTTTTCAAAATTTCTACCTGTGAAAGAAATAATTGTCCGCAAAAGTTGGAAATCACAGAGTGATACAGAGACAGAGAGAAATCCTTTGTAATCCATGAGAACATTAATGGATCCTATTTCCTTACAACAGACATTATTGTCACATTAAATTAATGGCTAGACAAAGTATTACCTTCTTAGTTATGCATTTACATCCCATAAATATTTTACAATGAGTACTTATACATGGATTGCACAATGAAAGGTTCACAGAGTGTTTTTGCACTCATCTATTGTTGCCAAAATTTTCTGCTTGAAAAATGGAAATGCATTCACATACACAAATAAATTTGACAGAGACAATTAAACTGGTTTTTTTTGTATCATTTAAAAACCAGGAAAGACCACCCTAGGAATGACTTAACATTCCTGGCAAGACTTAAAGGATTTGCATGACACTTAACTTTACAGGCATTTTCAAGTGCTATAGGAGCATTGAACTTACTGTAACATTCAGTCACTATTTAGGCAACAATTCTGGTTGTTTTTCAAAAAGTGACTCAAACCATTCATAGCATGGATTCGGTTTTTGATTAGGAATGACTACAATACAGAATTACTATGCAGGAAAAAAATAGATGTTTGAGTAAGCTTTAGTCTTAAAAAATCTTGCTGTCATCAGCCTCTTCTTTTTCTAGCATTTGCCAAGCTCCTAATTTTGCTACATGCATTTTAACAGCTTTGCTGTCATTCATATCCCTGGTTTTCATAGTACAAATTTTGTTTGGCACTGCCATCTTTATTGCATATATTCCAAAACTAACAGCAATGGGAACAGAAACCTAAGCCTGTCCTGACAAACGTAAGATAGGTTCTGGCAGCTTAACGTCCATTGTCTCCCATTGTTCTCGCAGATGACTGAGCTCAGACAGTGCATCATGCATGCCTAAATTGTGAACAAATTCCATTGATGTAAGGGTGGTTCGAAATCCAAAGTATTTGGTGCAACCCTTGGCTTCTAAGCCCAGTCCATGGAAGGATGCAGGGAAAGGCCTGAAGAGCTCTAAATTAATTCCAGTCTTATTATAACCCTGTCTCGAAATCAGCTAGTGAGTATCTAAAAACCTCTGCAATAGTTATTAGCATATTAATATTAGCATATTAACATAGTCAGCCCATCTGCACAGCTGGCTTTGATTTTAAGAACTATAAATCAGCTAAATTTGTGACTATTTATGTCATTCACAACAGGTTCTCTAGCACTAAAACATTTTTGAAATGTTCTTATCACATCATTATAACAACATGAACAATTCTTCAGACAAACAGAAGATTCCATACTTGAAACAGGGAAAATAATTTTACAAAATGAGAAAATCAGAAGATCTTTGCATTTGTATAGACCCTTTCAACTATCTTATAGCGATTAATAAAAGCAGGAAGATACTTTTGAGCTTGAAAATGTGACTCAAGATTTTGAAAAGCAACCTGTGACTGAGGTTATCACTTTCTGGTTATGCAACTCGAAACACATTAGGGTGATACAGTTTCCAGAAAGTCCTGAGTACCTCCTGGTTTCCATGAGCCGTAAATGTATCCTCACCACTGACTTTATACAATATTCAGTACACATTATTTCTTCAAAGTAGCATTCTTACCACTAAAGCAAAACATTACGTTAATTTGTTTAGGATCTTACCCCAAAAAACATTCATACAATGCAATTTTAAGTATGCCCTGGTGCTGCTTCATAATCAGTAATTCCCAATCTTCACCCAAGTATTCACAGGCTTGCTGTATATCACTGATGTTACACCAACATGTTTCTAAAGCTAATCACGCTCATCGTCCATTTCTTTAGGTATTTTATTCTTCAAAATATATTCAACTTCAGCTTTAAAATCCAGTTTCTAAGTTACAATCTTCATATCATGAACGATGATTTTTTTTTTTCTGCACTGACTTCAGTATAGCCATGGTTTTAATTATACTTGGGACACGTAGTTTGTATGTGTGTACTTCTCCAAATTTCACACCAGAAGCACTCACATTATGAATTTAAAGGATTAAACTATATCCTGGACATCAACCTAGGGAAACAAATCTCTGAATAGTCCTTTGGCCTAAATCTGATAAACCATAAAAAAGGAAAGAAACTCTAAAATATCAGAAAAACAACTTTGTTATGCATATTTGCATTTTTACAAAAAGTTTTAAGAATGTAACACTTGCAACTGTAGCGTATGAGTAAAATGACAGCAAGGCTTCATTGCTTTGGAGTGGTTTATGTCCCCTGTAGCAGACAGGGCTATCAAATTGACCAGCTTTCTCTAGTTACTAGCCAGGGAGGAATGCAGCATACTATCATTTCTACCAAGTCCAGTGACCATGAATTTCACAGAATGTTTCTCAGATCAGGAAATGTCATTTCTTAAGTTGCATTGCTGCACGTGCATACCTCCATTTTATGGTCAGTCACTTTGGTCAGTATGGTTAGTAACTTTTTAAAGAAAAAGTTTTAACACAAATCTAGCTTTGTGTGCATTCTTCCATCCTTTTACTTTCTTAGTGCATACTTCTTCCCAAGATCTCAATAGCATAAGATGTGAAGGACCTGTGATAAACATTTGACAAGCACTTAAAAGTGTAAGTACCATTTCTGACCACTCAAAAAGCGTTCAGAAACAGAGGAAACAACTAGGATGTTCAGACTGTACTTGAAAATTGCTTCATGAAGGAGACAAAACTACAAACCCTTCAATATACAATTACTACAGTATCAACAAAGCCAAAGAATCCACCAGCTTGGAAGTGCCCTGCTGAAAGAGCTGTCAGATAGACTGAGCTGCCGGAGGAACCCAGCTCCATCCAGGAAACACAGACAATGAGGCTAAGGACAGGGAAATTGACTTTTTTTGTGTATCACATGGTGAATTAAGTCTACTTAGCCCAATATGTTTGCCTCCTATTTGTTCCTTTATTAATCATAGTATTTCTCTGATGGGCAAATAAATAGTCTCTGGGCATTAAAAAAAAAAAAAAAAAGAAAGAAAAAAAGATTTCAATAATGAAGTTGAATTCAATAGAGAAGTTGAAATCTTGATGTCAAGTCAGCCTTATGTTCATACTTAAAAGATATTGATGTGAAGGCAATGGCTTGGGATGCTGGACTGAAAGACAGTAGATTTTGGCATTAGTGCAGATTCTGAAATAAGTGCTGCTTACTATCAGCTAGCTTTAGCTATTAATGTGATCATAATTACCGTTTTATCTTCCAAACAACTTTGAAGATTAGAAAACGTGTGGCTGCAATGGTCGTGCCTGTCTCATTTAACAGCTGAATAAGCAGCAGGTCTGGAAGACATTCTGGAGGTGGCATTGCCTATTCATGTCCAAGGAAAGAGTCAGTGTTGGTTAACCATATTCTTGAAGAGAGGTGCCCAGAACACTCTCCCAAACTTCCTGCCTGTGATACGGATGCTTCAAATGACCTAATCTATTTTTCCAACTCATTCAAGAACCCAGGCAGATTCCTAGCAGGAACATCTCACAAATGATGCTTTACTGCTCAGGAGGACAGCACAGCTCCCTGATCTCAAGTCACCCGAGTAACACTCAGTAATCAGAGCGCCCAGCTTCCTGCACGTGGCTTTAGGCAGTAATCAGGCAGTAACGTTAGGCAAAGCTTCTGGCAAAAAATCTTTAGGCAGCATCTTTAGGCAGATAAAGGTCAAAAGATGGTCAAAGATCTTGTGAAAATAGTATGAGAACACAAGTCAGTTCCAAACTTAAGTGAGACTGAAGTCTTTTACAGAGCACAAGTAACTCAGGAGTTCTCAGAGAAGTAGCCTTGGATGGTACTTCAGCACTGAGGGGTTTGTGAAGATCTAGAGCATGGGGAGATCATCCTTCAGGACATTCATTCCGACTTGCATTTGTGAACTCTGCCCAGTGATTGAGTAGTTCTAATACATGGAACATACCTGATTCTGCAGGTTGACGTTACACTTATATTAAAATTTCTGCAAGTCTCTGTGTCATGCAAGGCTAACGTTGCAAGTAACTGGTAAAGCACAGCCTGATTTCACAAAGGTTTCATAAAGACACCATAAATAACTAATGCCCATTTATGAAAATAGTTTAATAATCTTTTACATGAACAAAAAGACAAAATAAATGTACTTAATGCATAGTGCTCTGGCAACTGGAATCACTACCTCACATACAGTAAAATGAATGATTATACACATTTATGTCCCATGCCAATAAATTCCCATATCTGCTATTAAAAACTACTTTTAGCTAGCTGTCTCAGAAGCATGATCCTGCTTCTAGATGGTTACTGCCTAAAGCACCATTATAAGAAACATCTGCTAAAGCAGCATTCCTGCCTGTCCTCTCTAAAGCTCCTTTATTTTGCTGGGCAGTGTACAGAATCAGGCCTCTCACCTCAAAATCTGAATACTCCTCAGTTACTTTAATATCCATGCCAGATTAATGTATTTTATACCAATTCAAAGTTATTCTATTCAGAAATATGTGAATCGCAGCATTACATTTGGTGAAGACCTACTTGTGTAGGAGGCCTGGCTGCGGAGATATCTGAATAGGATTTATCCCAGGTTTTCATTTAACACTGTCACTGCTCCATGCACATTTTAAAAATGCCAGGAAAGCAGAGCCTAAACTATATAGTGCATAAACAGAGCTTGGAGAATGATTTTTTTTTTTTCTCTAATATATCAGAAAGCATTAAAAGTTTAACTAACCTTTTCCTTAAAATAGGAGTGCTGTTTTACTTCTTCCCTCTACCCCTTTCAGAACTTGCATGAAAAAATGTGGCAATCATAGGAAGGGGACACGTTAATAAATCAAGGAAAACTACATTTACACGTAGAAAATAGATTTCTCAGTTTCAGCATTAAAGAAAGCAAACATGCCAAATGCAAAATGCTTTAATTAATAGGGCTACTTAAGCAACTTCCCAGTGAGTAAACTACACCAAAAGTAAAGAACAAAAAATCTAGCTTAAACGCAACCTTTAGCAATACCTTACATCTGATGGTCACTTTTAAACATAAAATGCCTCAGAACTACTAGCAGCAATTTGAACCCATGATGTGAGCAACTTCAGTCAAAGTACGTCACTCAGCTTCTTTGGTATTTGGCTAACTCCCAGGTACATAGCTGTTTTGGCATTTTTATACATCAGATAATGAAAGCAGTGTGTAGTGTTTTAAATCCCAGAGGTTTGCCTGCATCTGTGAGACCTACAGTTAGCAAACTGCTGCACTGCAATAAGCCTTACAAGAATTAAGTACTAAAAACCAAATGACCAGGAATCACAAACTTTCAAACTATTATCTAGCACGTGCTAGCATATTAAGCGGTAATTCTTAGGAATTATAGATTCTTTGTAATTAACAGCACTCACAGAGAAACTGATTGTAAATCAGCAAATTTTAAAAATCAGCAAGTAAACAAACCTGAAGGTTAACACAGGGCACACGTTCATTTCATTTACTAATTGTACTATGTTTGTTCATTATGCTTTTTTTTCTCTAGCAACATATTGCCCTAATATTAATATTAAATAAACATAATTCTAGTTAAAAAAGACATTTTGAATATAGCAGTACAAGTAATCAAGTAAATGTTGCACTGCAGTTTGTTGTGGATCACTGCTAGGGAAGACTGTCAGTGAAATTCATCATACCACGTCTATTTCTCTGGAAAAACAATATTTGAATGCTAAATAAATAAAATCCCTGTAATTCAGTTCATGACCAATGTTACGATAATAGTTCTGATAAAGTAAGGCACGTGCTTTTCAAGTAGTTTGCAATTGATTTGACATTTTTTTCCAAATCTAAATAAAATGCCACCAAGGCCAAACTAGACAGGTTTCTAGGTCTCAAAAAAACTCTCCGGACTTATTTCCATGCCTCCATAAACTCTTGCATGAACAATCACAGCAGGAATCATTATGGAATGGTTTAAAGAATACTGCAATACGAAATCAGTTAATGATGTAAACTTAAACATAGTTCTTTACTGACAGAGTGTTTGAGTTTGGTATATTAAGCATCAGTCATAGCTAACTAGTTATTACTAATCGAACGTAAGTGCAAAGATATCATAATGTAAACTTCTGGCTCTCAGTGATCAGCTCCAGTAAAACCTATTGCTGTGGCCAATTCCCTCTCTTCCAACGTCCTTTCCTCTCAGGTTGTTGGTAATTCAAACAGAAAACCTCCAAAGCAACAAAAGAACCATTCTAAATGTGTTGCTTTTGCGTTTGCGGGTCAATTATTATTCTTTCATTGCAAGAAAGATCAAACAGGTGCACAACTGATTGCTTCTACATCATTACTTTGTACCCAGGTATGCCAGACACATTCTAGTTATAAATAAGCACATAAAAAGTAGTCAACTGAAAGTTAATACACTTGCATTACCTACAGATTCAAAATTTGACAAGTTTCCATAGCGTACTCTCATTTTTGCTTACAGTCAATTCAAACATGTTTTTAAAAATAGGGGAGAGTATTTTTTATGATTGACTGGTCTTTGCTGCTTGGGTAAACCTCACAGCGATTAGCAGTGTTTTCTAAAAGCTCCTATTTACTCTTTTGGAGCATTACCTAAGAAAAATGACCATCTTGGAAACATTTAAATACATTTTCATATCCAACTGTTCTTCCTCTTCTTACTGTAAAACTATTCGTAAAAGCAATAGGCACTAGTTTTGAGCAGAAAAACAGCTGGATTTAATCATCGTGTGATTTATCTGTTACTCAATCTTGTGAAACTGCCATCTGCTTCACCTACATGTTTGCCTTTGACAACTAAATACAATCCCTCCGTTTGGAAATAATTACGATGCAGCACTATATTACGCAGATGGGACAGAAAGCAGCAAAGCCTTCGAAGTTACAAAAGCATTACGAGTCTTTATTTGGTGTGCAGTTTCTGATGTGGTAAATTCAGGCTCTGAGCTGTCTCACGCCCAAAGTAAGCTTTTCTGTGTTCAGAAATTGTGACTGCTGAAAAGGGAGGGGGAGCTGCAGTTACGATGCTAAAAGCAGGCTGATAAATTACTGCAATTGTACACAGTATTGATTATGAATGCCAAAACAGTCATGTTGGATTATATAAGTAAGAAAGGTAACTTTTAGCTAAATATGTGGACTTAAATGCAAATAGGCAAGATTGCCAAGACAAGTTGTTTGAAATGAGAACTCACTCACTGAGTGTCATGACTTCCTGGACAATATATAAGTTTTGGGTTACGTATAACGAACAATTTGGTCTTAACAATTAATCAAAATAAAATTAACCTAAGAAATGCTTGTGCATCGCTTAGCTTTTAGAGGACAGACACAAAACACAAATTTATCATTTTAAAACCAGACAATTTCTGTCTCCAGCCACAATTTATTCCTGTCTGCTTTTTTACAAAGCTGAATTCTTTCTGTGGCTAGAAGGACAAAATACTTCCACATTAATGAGCTAATCAGCTTAATTGCATAAACTTGCCTTTGTGTGTTTTTTTTTTTAATCTCAAGTTGAATCTCCAGAAGAAATAGTTACGCAATCACCATTACAGGATTCTGTTATTTTTTCTCATAAAAGGAGAAATGTAAAGTTTTTTTTTTTTTCTTACATGTTCTTTTTCTGGAGATTCATTTACAACGACTTACATAAGAGAGCATTAAATATAATGAACTTCTGAATACATTAATGCCTGCAAGGCTTTCCTACAGCCAAGCAAACAGTTGATACTCGAGCACATGCTGAAACGCAGGCCAGGCTCTGAAGAGGTACAACTGAGCACAATCTCTTTACTGGTTTGTTTTATGCCTGCTGACAATATAATGTGATTTTAGCAATTTAACAGAATTCTAATGAATGCTAATTAACAAGGACCTGTCTCAATGATTTAGGGTCAATACAGTGGGTACCAAAAGACATGGAAATGAGAGAAGCTGACTGAACGATTCAGCTCACTTTTATCACCACCACCACCTGCAATAAATGACCAGGCTTGGACTGATTTTGATCTTTTTCAAAACATATTTACGCATATGATGCTCATGTGTAAAGTCAGACTTCTCTGGAAAAACCAAACCAGTTCCCCAGTCAGATTTAATCTTCAGCAGCATTAACGAGCAGAGTCCATCAAATGCCTCTATTTCAATTCAAGAGAGAAATTTCAATTAGCAAGTAAGGGAATGAATTACCATAGAAATATTACTGTGTATTCTTAAGTTTAATGCTATTTCACTGAATGGGTAGATTTTATAATAAAATATGATGTAGCACCAAGTAAACTTTTTATAGTGAGAGGCTACATATGAAGCCACCTATTTTATTAATCTTCAATTTTGCTTATAAGATGACAAATTTTACTCAGTTTTGAGAAAGTGAAACCTGTCAAAAGTTTCTTAATTGAGAAAGTTCTGCATTTTTATTATCAACAAATCGAACTCTCTATTTTCCAAATAAATAAGCTCATGTGAAACTGCAGTACCACATATAATTGTGCAATTCTCTGAGAACTTAAAGGCAGAATTTTGACAGCGATTTGTTGAACTTGATAGCCGGTTATCATCATTTTTATTAGGAAACAAGCATCTAAAATCACTGGTACTTTGGGGGGGAGGAGGGGGGGAATCAACCAAAGGCATTTACATTTACTTAAATGGGCACCAGAAAAAAAATAATAGAGACAAGATAAAGATGTGTTTTCCTAGTTTTTCTTCAGACTTAGAGTATTTAATTAGGTTGATGCAGTATTTCTTCTATGCACTGATTGTTCCTCAGGTTTGTCACTGCTGAGCTATATCTCGGAGCCTGCCATCACACTGATGTTCTGATACTTTCCATCTCCAGAAATAGGAAGTCTCATCTAACAATGCCCTATCACACCAGCTCCAAATTTCCAGTGAAAATGGAACACCCATGCTTTTAAAACTGACTAGTGCTCTATCTGCTAGAGACATCTTATCATACAAGGAACATCTTTTTCACAACTTCTTTCCAGTTTTCTTTGTCACGTGTCTGTTTTTGAGAAGTTAAACTCACAGATGCACTCTGTAGTAACTTGGTCTTTCCTGTCATGTGCTGAAGATCACAATGCTGTGACTTACCTTTGAACCTGACTGCTTTGCTTGATGTGGAATGCAACTGAATCTCTCTTCTCACCCTTAGGCATGACAAATACATCGGCTTCTCACTGCAAGTACAATGACATCATGCATAGTAAATACACTTCCAGAAGACTCTTTTCCTGTAGTTTTTTCTCCACTTAACAGCTGCATGACTATCCTTCATTCATTTTTTTTTCCCATTATATCTGGTTGCCTGTGAACCACTGCAGATCTCTCCAGGCCTTTAGTGCCGAAGACATACAAAAATCACCTTCTAAAATACTTGTGTCCTGTGTTTAAAAGACAGCACATTACACAAATATGTTTGAAATCATCCAGCACCTGGTTGCATCCTTAAGCCTCCAGCTGCAAGCACTCAGTGAGCTGGAGCACACACTTCTCCAGCTCACCACCCAGAGCAGCCACAGTGCTTGCCTCAGGACAACTTGAGAATGGTAACACACAGCACTGGTGTTTCTCCAAACACTGATTCAGGTTTGGTTAAGCCTTTTGATTTCTCTAAGGGAACTGCACTTGTACGAGTATGCATGTGTTTTCTGGGGGTATGGTATTTCTTTTGTTTTCTTTGCTAAATGATTGTGGTTGTAGTAACGCCATTTCTTTATTTAAGCGTCTAATGTAAAACTGCTAACAAAGCTGAGGTAGATACAATTACTGCTTACACCACCTTAACTGTCTTTGCATTAATTTACAAATTAACTTCCCAACAAAAGTCTAATGTTCAAAGAAATAAATAACAAAATACAGCTAACATTTCCACAAAGACATCTACAACTGCATTTACAAGACAGCAGGGATTCATACAAATGTTTTGGTTACACACAATTTAAAAAAATGTTTTGCAAAAGCCCAATTCACTTCTGATTACTGCAGCCTACAGACAACTTCCTCATAAACAAGAAAGAAAGAAAAGCAGTAATTGTAACAGCCGTCCAGCTCAGAGCTCCAACAGAAGACACATCCTCTGTTCCCACCTTCTTTTTTCAACCACACTCACACTACACCAGCATTCAGGTAGTAGCAATCTGTTCCTTGAACAAGGCATCAATTCATTCATTCTTCAGTTATACAGAAGAATCTCTAAGCAAATGAACCCAGGTTACAATTAGAAAGCCAAGCTATTTAAGCCACGTAGCTGGTTTTAATTTTTTGTGTGTTTGCTTCCAATTTCAAAGGATACTTTGATTAATCTTTCCATGCTAATACAAGAGAAAGCAGAAAATAGTTTCCTGAAGACCTGGGCAACTGCATCCCATGTTATTAAACAGATAACAAAGTTGTCCACAGGGTGAGAAACTCACCAGAATCACAGGACTAGATGAGGGAGGAAGGAAGGATCAGATACAGAATCTGATGTGTCTGAAGAAGGAGACAATAAAGGTACTCACAGGTAAAAACCATAGCAATTCTGAACAGCGCAGGAATTTTCCAGATTCCAACATTACAGGGCACAATAGCCAGGACATGGCCAATAAAAAAAAAAGGGCAGCACAGACTGGAGGGAGTGATTAGAACTTAAAAATATTCCAAGGGATGAGGTAAAGTTTAGAGATGGTTCTGGATGTGCAGGTCAGAGAAGCGAAACAGGCCAAAGATGCCAAAATTACAGCTTTGAATGACAACACTTATGGTTATACTCTGTTCTTTCCAGTTACAATGGGTTGGAATGGGAACCAGACAAAGGAAACAATAACTATTTTGAAATATCATAGCCTGATTTTCATTAGAAACTTACAAACCAGCACCTAAAGACATTTGTTTGTATATAGGCACAGTAGTAGCAAAAGCCACTGTTAAGCAGATCCAGGTATTATATCATACGGTACCTTCAGAATAAACCAGAATCGCTACACTATTTTCTTTTGTTGGTGAAACTGTAAAATGACAAAAAAAAATAAAAATTAAAAATTACATGAAATTAATGTCTTCACTACAACTTAAATACTTTGTCTTTTACTGCAACATTTTCTGTATTCGAGGAATATTGGCCTACCAGTGGACAAATGAAAAGGTACTTCTTTACCCTTAACATTTCTCTCTCCCAAGAAGAACTTTAGTTAATGCTCCTAATGATGGCTTGAGTAAGACAGCATCTAACTTTTCCTTATACTGAAATTGTTCATGATTAGATTGTAAATTGCTCAGGATGGGGATCTATTAATAGTCGTATCCTTTTACAAATGAACACGCTAAGACAAGTATTGTTGGGCAACAGGGATGCTACGAGAGAAAAAAACATTCTCCCATAGAATGAGCTGTGAAGACATTTCTTCAGGGTGTTTTTGCACAAATGTACCATTGAATTAAAAGCTAATTACTTCATGATAAATGATCTGAAGGCAAATAAATAGTAAGGTGGTGGAGTATGCTGTTGATGCTAAGTTACTGAGGGCAGAAAAAATAAATCTAGCTGAGCAAATCTGCAGCCTCATAAATGCATATGCAGGTCAAATTTATGGTAAATAACCATAAAGTACACTGGGGAAAAAAAAAATAAAAACCATTATTTTGGCTCAGCATAAATCCATCTGCTCCTGTCTTGAGTACTGTGCGTAACTCCTTGTTTCCTCATCAGCAAAAGCCAATAGTAGTGTTCACAAAGTACAGAATAAAGAGAGGAACTGTACCATGGGAAAATACCAGATAGACTAAAACTCCTCTGCTTGGAAAACACAAGACTCACAAGCCTGGGGAAAGATATAAAATCACGAACTGAAGAAAAAAGATGACTTGATAGGAACTTTTATCGACTAAGACAGATAGCAAACACGAAAAACATTTCACACAAGGCAGTCAAGTTGTACGGAGTGAGGACCTCCTTCCTGCAGTACACGGCAGATGCCAAAAGCCAACGTGGACTTAAAAGTAAACGAATACATAACTGGTTGTGCAAATTCATGGAATAAAAATGCACTGAGGACCGTGTTAAATATAAGACACCACTTCTGATTCAGAAAGCGCTAATGCCACAGTGGGTTGCATATGGGGTATTAAGGGATCAGATGATGTCCTTCCTATCTTTGTACTCTTCCTTTGTATGCTTTCCAGTGCCCACTGTTAGAGTTGCTTATATTCATGGATGATGTTTATATGAAGATGACAGTATCTGTGAAATACCAAGTGTTTCAGGGATGCATTTATTTATAGCTGAATCTAAGAAGTGAAGGAGCTGTGCAAAATAGCAAGATTTATTGGACTTGATGATCCTTTAGGGTCCCTTCCAACTCAGGATATTCTATGATTCTATGATTATCTCAGCCCTGAAAACATTCACGTGTACGCTTGATCGCAGGCTAACTGATGTCAATAACATGCGAGTTAAAGTCAATGCAGGATTATTAGCCCAGAAGGAAATTCACATGCTCTCTTTTGCAAACTTTTAACCGAGGACTCTGTGCCATTATAGCGGCTGTGAGCGTAGCAAGACAGGCCAGAATTCCTTTTTCTTTTTTTGGGGGGGGAAAGCGCGTAGGAGGTGTTTCTGCCAGAGGGAGGCCTGTGACGGCACTGAAGTTCCGCCGATTTGCTTTGCCTTTTTGAAGCACAACCCGCTGCTTATTCCCAACTTCTTACGTACAGAAGCGACTCTGTTCGTCACCGCGCATTGCAGGCGCTGTCAAGCGATCCCGCTGGACGGCTTCTGCTCATCGTCAGCCCTCAGGCCCGGGCCCTGCAGCTTCCTCTTCCCCCGCGGGCTGCCAACGAGGGCTGCGAGAAGCGCAGCGAGCCCCGCTCCTGCTGCTCCCTTCCCGAGCCCTGACCCAGCCGGGCGGCCCCGGGCAGCGCCAGCCCCTGCTGATCCCTGCACGCCGCCTTCGGGGGGTGCCTCGGGGAGCCCCCAAACTCCTCTCAGGCTGCGTGGGACCTGCCTCGGGCTCCCTCCGAGCTTCCCGGAGCCGATCTCGCTCTCCTCCGCTCCCAGGGCCTCGCCCACCCCCGCCTCCCGCCCCCCGCCCCCTCCAGCGGCCGCTGCCGTCGGTGAGCGCTGGGAGGCGGCCGCGAGCCCCTCCCGCTGGCTCCGTTTCGGGGCAGAGCAGAGCGAGCGGGGCTCGTTACCTTTTCTCTCCTTCCCCGCCGCTCCCCCACCATGCTCCGGCCGCCGCTGCCCGCGGAGGAGACGCCGCGGCTGAGGGCGGCGCGGCCGGGCCGCCGATAGCGCGACCCGCGCCCTGCCCCGACCACCATGAGGGACGAGAGGGAAGCCCCCGCCGCTGCTCCCGGTCCCGGTGCCGGTCCCGGTGCCGGTCCCGGCGCCGTCCGAGCCCCGCAGCGCTGCCAGCAGCCGGACGGCGGCGCGGAGAGCCTGCGGAACGGCTACGTGAGGAGCTGCGCGACCCCCCTGCGGCAGGACCCCCCGAGGAGCTTCCTCTCGCTGCTGCTGCTCCCCTCCTCCTCCTCCTCCTCCTCCTCCTCCTCCTGCTGCTGCCGCCGGGCGCTGCTCAGCCTGGCCGCCCTGGCCGCCCTGGTCCTCTCGCTGCTGGCTCTGCCGGGCCGGGGCAGCGGCGGGGGGCAGCAGGACGGGGGCGGCTGGAGGAGCCCCCGGGCTCTGCACGCCTTGCTGAGCCTCTCCCGCTGCCTCAGCCCGCTCTTCAGCATCGCCTGCGCCTTCTTCTTCCTCACCTGCCACCTGGCCCGCGGCGGGGCGCCCCGCTGGTGGCTGCTGGCGCTTCCCGTCTGCTGCTACTCGGGGGACTTGGTGGCGCTGCAGTGGCTGCCGCCCCCCGCGGGGCGCCAGGAGGAGCCCCGGGCCCCCGGCGAGCCGCAGATGCTGGCGGGCCGGCTGCTGACGGTGCTGAGCTCGGTGGCGGCGCTGACCCTGCTGCAGAGCTCCCTGCAGCTCCGCCGCCGCCTCCTCGTCTTGCTCTTCTCCAGCCTGGTGTGGCTGGCGTCGCTCGGCAGCCTCCCCTCGCTGCCCCCGGCCCTCCGCCCGCTGCTGGCCGGCGCTGTGGGGGCGGTGGGCTGCCTGCTAGCCCTTTGCTGCGGTGTCCCGGCGGCCCGGAGCCGGGCACAGCAGCAGCAGCAGCAGCAGCATCGCCAGCACCCGCGGCTCCCCAGCGCGGAGGAGAAAGTGCCCGTGATCAGACCCAGGAGGAGATCGAGCTGCGTGTCCCTCGGGGAGAGCCCGGGCAGCTACTACGGCGGCAGCAAGATGTTTCGGAGGCCCTCGCTGCCCTGCATTTCCCGGGAGCAGGTAGGTTTCCTCCCAGACCGCAGGGAGAAACTTTCCGAGGAGTGAGCGCCGCTCGCCCTGCCCTGCCCGGCCTCTCGGTGGGTGCCCGCTGTCAGGAGCCCGCTAAAGAAATGGAGGAAAATAGTGGTTCCTCAGCGGGGCTTCAGTCCTCAACTTGGTTTTCTGCACGGCCGCTGTGACCCTGCCTTTTGGTCTGTATGGAAGCTAAATCCTACCCATGCATTTGCAGTAGCATACAGGGCTCGCTTGCTTTCCGTGCGATCTTAAATATTAAAGCGTAGCCCCTCTCCCTTAAACAAACAAACACCTTCAGCTATCAGCTACCTTGTCTCTTTTCCAAAGCCCAGCTCCTCCACTTCTGGCAGACTTCACCAGAGAAAGAAGCCACAGCTTGCTAGCTGCTCGGCACTTCACTTTCTTCCCTGCTTTCTGTCGACAAAAAGGTGCTAAAGAAAAACACAAAATCAGGTTTTGAGGGATATTTTGTACCGATGTTTGGCGGTGTTTGAGTGGCATGCGCCCTTCTGCCTTGCAGATTTCTCTCTCTGCCTCTTAGCCATCTCTTCCTCGCTCCAAGTAACTTAACATTAGGTTGGGGTTGATTGGATTTAAGCAACTACTTTCTACTTTTTTTTTTTTTTTTTTTTTAACTGAAGAGAGCTGTTCAGTAGAGCCTGGAAAGATGCCTGCAACGTTCAGCTTTCTTGAATGGAACTCTGTTGGTTTCTCCCTCCTGGCAAACTTGTCAATGGGTCTTGTTTTTTCGCAGCGCCAAGCCCCGTGTGGGGCCGGGGTTGTTTATGTTCGGCACATTGCACGTGAAATGCAGGGCTCCGAGCAGTGTGTTGGAGGGAGAACCAGCCCCGGATGGACTTGGGATGAGGGCACAGCTCAGGGGGGAACGTGTGAGCCAGCAGCTCCTGCAAGGGGTGGTTGCCTCACAGCCCCCCACCTCTCCTTGTTGTGGCTGAAATTCAGGAAACTTGCTAAATGCAAGTTTCTAGCCCCGCTTTATGGTGTGTGCCAGACTTGTGCTCGACTGTGAAATAGGTCGGAGGAAACACGAGGTGAATCTGGGCGAGCAGGGTGGTTTTCGAGCATGTCGTGCTCCGCGTTTATGCCCCAGAGTAAGACAGCAGCAGTCGCTCTTGGCAGAAAAGGTTGAAATGCAAGTGTGCTGCAGCACGCTTCGGAAGTAATTCAAGCAGTAAGTTTTTAAATTGTCCAGTGCAGACTGCGAAACGAACGATAAACATTGTAATAGCAATTAAGATATGTAGGGAGTATTGTGTTGTAACTTACTTTCTCTGCCCTGATCCCTTCTAGATAGCAAACGCTCTCTTTTTGTGTCATATTTGTCTGCAGTATAAAAAAAACTCAGAAAATGCAGTAACAGCTTTCATTAACCTCTCTAGATGATAAAAGATATTTGTTCTCATCCAGCTTACTAAATGCTTCCTTTGATATGTAGCTCACTTCCTAAAAAAGTGTGTGTATATTTCAAGTTGAGGCATTTATTATTCTTTAAGTAACATCATAAATGTCAACCAGAACTAAATACATGGAATTTATTGGCAGTACTTAAATCATACGTGTTCATAATAAAATGCAACTGTTTGGTAGAGTTCCAGAATTTGATATCTTCATTATCACCAGAGGTGAACAGAAACAACAAAGAGATCTAAAGTTCTCTATTTTCCTAATAGTCTATTACACTTTACAATAAATATTTGTGCTTTGTTAGCCATGGTTTAAATTGGATTCACAGGTATACGTTCTATGCAGCATTTTATGAGTGGTTTTTATAAGGATAATACAGGCTAAATCCTCTGATCTCCTGTCTGACTTGGAGAGAGATCAGACATTGCAGAGCTGATAAAACGTCAACTGTTTGGGCTGGGGGTGGTGGCATGGGGTATAGCCCGTGACATTATTTGAATAAACACTGTAAGGTCTTTATATTGCTTCCTTGAAACAGAAGCAAAATACACACTTACTGCTCCTCAGAGAGCGTTTGTTTTGTGAACTTTCTTGAAAGATTCATTGCATGTTTTGCAGATGTTTATACAACGTTGCAATGCTTCTTTTTCAATATTAATATTTTAAGATAGTGAGCTTAATGAGCATTGTTTGGAAGATCAGTGCAGTACAAGGAATGTGTGGCAAGTCAACCATGCCAAGCATACTTTGGTGAATGACAGCTAAGTAACTATTGCGATGATATTTGATGTATTTTATCCAATTATTCATGTACATTGAACCCCTGCAAGCAGGGACATATGAGAACAAAAAAGGCAGATGTAGGTTTTAGTTACCCTGGGGAAAAAAAGAGAGAATGCTACCATTGACCCTAAGTTTCCGCTTACTTGTTGATTTGAAATGATGGCTGACTCTTGTCTAGTTAAAACTAGGAGAAAATAACTATATTGGGTTGACTGTTTTTTTTCTTTTTTTTTTTTTTTTTCCTTTCCCCCCCACGAATAAGCTGAAGCTAACAACTGTCAGGGGGGAGCGGGAGTGGTCAGCAGCTCCACGTATGTGCACCCAGCAGCGTGCACGTGCTGGAAGCAGGTGGAGCTGTCCCTGTTTTCCAGGATAGAGGTGGGAAGAGGCCCTGTGAGCATGATGCTGCAAGTGCTTTCTAATCTCAGCAGTGTGTTTGTCATATTCGGAGTATTGCTCTTTGTACTTGAACAGCTATGGCGACTATAACACTGAAAGGTTGTTAAAAGTTGTTCTTATTTTTATAGGAATGTCCATGCTTATTTAGCCACCAAAATCTACGAATTCATGCTGCGTATGTTTTTTCTGCAGTATGTGTGGCTAGTGATGTTGGTTGGTGAGTGGGGGAGAAGTCTTGAGTGGATTCTATCTTTAAAATTTCATGCGAGTATACTTAAATGCCATTACCAAATATATAAATAGAAATACACATAGAACAGAAGAAAGCAATATGACTGAAATTAAGGCTAGAAATCATGCAAGTGCAGTGTCTTTTCTGACGTCTACTATATTAACAAGAAAAGTTCATGGAAATTCATATAATTTTAGCAGTACGTAGGCATTTTGAATCCTTACTTCAGTATTCTTCGACCTAGGGAAGAGTTGCTTATTAGCAGTATGAGTGCAGTATGATTGCTATACAATATTTTGCATAGAAAATGTTTTGATTACATGTATTAATCAAACGCTAATGTCAGCTGTACCTGCTGGTATCAAAGGGATTATCTTCATTGGCTGATGAATACTTACAACTCCGTTGCTTAATTTTATTTTATTTTTTCCTGAAAGACAAATCAGGATTGGGAATCTCAAAGGTGTTTGTCAGATCTTTCTACATAATATTCGTCTTGAAAAATCCTGTAGTAAAGCATTATTTTTCTTTAACAAGCTGGTGAACGTGTATATGAGAGGGAATAACTATATTTAGGTTTTCTAAAATGTCCATTTTTCCTTGCAAAAGAATAGGCCTTCCTAATTATGCATAAGAGACGTGTGTCCAAAGCAGCCTGCAACTAGAGCTGACTTTTTTTCCCCTCTAACTCTCTGAGTAGGTTCAAACAAGTAAAGAGGCTGAGATACTTCCTTGATAAAGACATTCATGTTGCATCCTTAATTAAGGAGGAGTTGTCTTGTAATTAGGCTGCTGAATTGACCACCACCTCCTGCCAGTTTCAATTTGTGGCTATCTTGTATATTTTATGCCTTATCTTAGGAAGGTAAGGA